TTCCACTGCCTCTGGAGCTATAACTTCCGCTTCTGCTTCAACTGCATCGGCGGGCCCAGAATCTGGATTCGCTTCACCACTGGGATGTTTTACACTAGGCTGGGGCTTCTTTTCCAAAATGGGGACTGTCAGAACCCCAACCAGCATATACCTGACTTCGCAACACTCATCCTTAGAGAGTGCGAAAGGACCAGAAAGATCCATAGACAACGTCCACGAATCAGGATGAAGCACTTTGCGGCGCGCACGAACCTGAGCAGCCCCTTGCAGGCAAATCTGGCAGTCACGGCGAAAAGGTATGCGACCTCTCTGCAAACGACGAATACAATCCGCCGACACTGAAGCCAACTTGTGGGGCGTAGCTTGACCATGCGCGCCTCTAAGATGACGCTTGATCATGGCCATCATAACCTGAACTAATCCAGGCGCCCACTTGGCCCATTTACTAGACGCGCCTAAGCTATTACTGCGGTGAGAGTATTACTGCGGTGAGAGATTTCGCTCCCAGGACCCTTCAGATCCATTAAACCTTCTTCAGGAACCATGTTAGCACCAAGACCTGTGGGTTTTCGACGGGCATGACCCAAAGGGCCTTGATCAGACCTTACCAGACGCACTTTGCACTGGCTTTGGAATCTTTCTCACGCACTGGTCGCCCAGAATGAGGGGTACCCGTCTGCTGGTCTATTCGCATAAATCGGGTTAGTACTAACATTGTCTGGAGCGGGCCATAGGTATGACTCAGGGTCATCCGGCTGCCCTAATCCAAAAGCAGGATCAGGCAAGTCTAGCAACTTGCTAGCTTTGAGCGTTATCGCTCGTCGCTCCTAATAATAGGAAGCGCATAAACAACACGTCGTCCATTTTGGCTAAACCTGACTCTATCGGAGACAACCCGTCTAGACCATATCGACCTGTTCCGTTTCGCGAACATACTGGTCTTGGAGCGTCGGGGCCTGCAGGTATGTGTCTACACACTGTGTAGGTTCTACACGGAGGACCACCTATTAGCACTCGCAGGACAGCACTTAAGGAAAGCGACAATGAGAAACCATATGTTTCTGACGAACATAGGTCTTCTATAAGATCTACTGAGATGTGCTCTAAACCTAAGTCGTGGGCACACCTCACAGGTGAGTCACTCCCCTGCAAACACGTGCACGAATGCCCCTCGCCTGGCCTTACGACGTTTATGTCGATTCCAACATGAGGACTTCCCGTCTGTTGGTAGATTTACGGCTATATCTATTAGCTGTTCAGGGGCCTTAGGGAAAAGCGTTTTCGCGAACACTCGCATTGCTGCCTCTGTTTCGCACTTCCCCTGCTGCATGCCTTGGATCAACTCGGCGTCGGTGTACCCCTCAAGGTCATGAGATATGGCCGTTATTCTGGCTGGTGCGACTTTGCGGTGACGAACCAGAGCTTCGTACTGTTCAATGAGGTCCTCAGCTACTTTCCTTGGGACCTCTGGGCAACCATGGGACGTATCGATCTCCAGCGGACCGTTCTCTTTGTGTACCACTTCGAAAACAGCTTCATCGCATACTATGCGATATCCTAACTTACGAAGGGCCGTGTAAGACACGATAGGGGATACCCTTTCTACTGAGAGTAACGTGCCCTCACGAGAGATCATCAAGTGACCTTCTCCTAACGCAAGAGAGACCTTTCGCCAGAACTAGCAGCCCCGTTGGAAGGCTGATCAGTCGAAGATTGAGCACTTGCCACTCGAGCCTTGGCGACGGACTTCCCTTTTCCTTTTCCCTTCCCTTTCTGCTCCATTTCTGGATCGTAGGAGCCTCCCCCAGGTCGAGCGCATGCTGGCTTCAGGTGGGTGGTTGCTCCACAGTTTCCCTTTATTACTGGCTCATGTGTATACTGAGAATTAGTGCCACAGGAGCAACCTTCATCAGTAATCCACTTAAAGCACTGAGGTTTAACCTGGGCTTTTGCCTCGGCTTTAGCCTGGGGTTGATCATTTTTTGGCTCCTTCGGTGCCTTTTGGCTTGGGAGGGTCTTTGGGTTTGCCATTATCTTGTTTACCCTTACCTTTTGCTTTACCCTCCTCACTATTTTCTGCTAATAGCGCCGATCTATCTTTTCTTGTCATCTGGCTTTCATTCCCAACTGCGCCTTCTAATTAATTAGGCTAGAATAACCATTGATAACAAATCCACCTTTTCATAAGTGGGGATGGTGTCAATATTCAACTCGTGCCGGAACGCCGCAATGCGAAAGCTGATGTTGGGGTTAGTGGCTAGCACTGGACTGCAAAGTTTGTCCAGTGCTACCACTAAGATGGAAGGATCTGGGATCGTAGCCTTTAGCTCTTCAGCCCTTTTTTGAGCCGATTCCAAGTTCTAAGTGCAATCAAGGTCTCACTAAAGGCTTTACCTGGCGCAGGACGAGTTAACGCATCCAGGATGGCAGACTTTTCAGTCAACCCTCCAGGCTGGAAAGCCGTCAGTATTCTGAAGATAATCGCAGTTGATTCAAGCTGGCGACTTGAAATGCATTTAGTAGCAAACTACTGGATGCTTGTTCAACTCGACCATACTTAGTACCATCGTATCGAGATGTTTCTCCTTCTTCGATTGCCTTAATGGTCAATCGTTCTTGGGGGCCGGCGGCTAACCACTTTCTATATAGCTCGTGATCTCTCTCCCAAAGTCCCGCCGTAGCGGATAATGACTTCATGGTAGGACTAATCTGGGTCAGCCAATCACCAGCTACACAAGGCGCCAAGCCCTTTGACGGATCTAACACTGGCAACGGAGATGTATGCTTACCAACATCTTCTGGCCTTACATCGTCTGACTCTGAGGCTGCAGACAAGGCCTTCTCATGCCAGATCAAACCACGTACGTCTTCATCAGAAGTCTGAGGAGGGGGTGGAGGCCTTGGAGGCGTCACAGGCTTGGGGGTAGCTGGTGGAGGTCCCCGAGGAATCCTAGTTCCCATAGGGGTCTTTGGAGAAACCTCCAAACACTGATTAGTTTGAACTCCCGAAGGCCTAAAAGCAGGTGGAGTTGGGCTTCTTGCACTAGTATGACTCCGCTGCCGTTTAGAGCTCTGGCGGGTATAACTGCCCTGCTCAATGCTTGACTCACAGCTCTGAACTCTTGAACGCAAAGCACTCTAATGGTGCCATAATTATCCACTACCGCACTTCTTAACTGGCCATTTACCTCTACAGTGATCATAGAACTGTGGGTTGCACCACCGCCCTTCCTGGACGGGCTGGCAACGGTGGAGGCAGAGGGATATAACCTACTGAATCCTCAGCAACACTGGGGTTAGGGCCTGCACCACAAGGTCCTAAATTGGGGAAACCGTGGGATTGCATAGACGCACCAGCAGTGCCTGCACACCACTGATTTACACCACTAGCGCCGCTTGGCAGAAGCGGCCGACACACTTCCCGTGTGCCCCACTTGCCATCCCGACGTATTTCCCAGTCCCACGGTGGAACCCACATCAACGGCTGCACTCTCTCTCGTATCCTCCTGACCTACCCTTGGAACCAAGGAGGACCCGGACAGCACCGGACCAAAGAGACCATGCTGAACACGACCACTTTTAGGGAACCCACTTGGATTACCCCTTGGGTCTTGGAAGCTTTTAGGGACTAGAAGTCCCAAATTGTGGCTTACTTGCTGCAACCAACTGCGAACTACCACCAAACAAAACACCTGCTGTAGAAGAGATGGTACTGGCTGCCCCAATCTCCCCTAAACCCTCATGCTGACCGCCAGTCAGAGCATGAGGTCTTACAACTGATTGTGCAAGTGTTGACCCGCCAGGTCTACTGCTATGTGCAGCAATTCCAACATCCCCAGTTCCCTCAATCGCAATATGCGCCGAGATCACTGAGCCTGAACGAGACTTCTCTAAACGAACTACACTTTCCTGCAACGCCTCGTGCTGGTCAAGTAACAACTGAAGCAACGTGCCTGCTTCAGCCGTAATAGGTCCCGACTGAGCAATTTGTTGGGCCAGATCCCTAACGTTGACTTGAGCATGAGGTAAGCCCATGTCCGCTCCAGTAGCAGGTTCAGGATTTCTGACTGTCTCGGCACCCTCCGGAAAAGCACCGGTCAGGTCTTGTTCTGGTCCTTCAAATAGCTCAACATCGCCAGACGCTAAACGTGCCAAATCCACTGGAACTTGATCAGCACTAACACGAAGGCCATACACCTGGTTTTCTGGCTGATCCAACTGTAAGTCTTGAACTTGTTCCGCCACGCGGTTGACCTGATTTAGTCCGGCTGTAGAAATTCTGTCCCGATCCGGGGATTGTTTTACTCCACTGTCGCGTCCAACAGTAGCGCTAGGGCTAATCGCCCGACCTTCCCGGGCTGCAGCACTCGTGGCTCTTCTTAGCATAGCGGCTCCAGCATTATACATACCGACAGTTCTTCAGGTACCATTTGAGTTTCCTGCTCGTAATTTGGATGTAAATCCTCATCACTGTTGTCCATTATTGGAACCCTCCAGGCCTCCACGTCCTGTGGCCTCGTCACTGGCACATTGGCCGTATCACTTAATACTTCTCCGTCCAAAAAATCAGGCCTTGCATGTTGCAACCTACACTCCCCTTGCTTTCGTTCCGGCCAAAACGGATTTGGTTGCGTACTCAAAGTCCGGGGGTTTTCCGCACTTGCCTGATTCTGCTCTCCAAACCCAGGCGGAGGTCCAGAAGCGGTATTCGGAGCCTCGCCTGTTCGCTATGTTCCATCACTTTAGTTCGAGAAACACAGTGATAGCGGTTGGGCTCATCACCTGAGGGTGAGAGACATGGCGCAGCGAAGGCAAAGGCTCTTTTTCCTTCAGAAGCAAAGCAACCAAAAAAGGTATGAGGATATATCACTGTACAGTATGTACTAGTGTGAGTGTTAAAAGTTGAGCCGTGTAGCAATAATGGCTGCGGTGGGTATTCAAGTACTTGCAAGCACTGGTTACAATGCACAAGCAGTAATGATAGCAATTGCAACCGTGGCCTCAGCTCATTGGAAATCTTGGCGCCAAGGCTCTTGCCGACCGCTACGGCAAAAATGTGCACCTGCAAAAATCTCTGCAAAAAATGCGGAGTCGTAGTCACACAACCCTGGTCTGCCTTGCTGTTTTCCACTGAACTGTTCGAACCACCCATTGCGGCGACCTCTCAATCGACTGATGCGGCTTCGTCTACAGAATCATGGCATAACTCTTCACGTGCCGCACCCGATCTGTGTCAAAGGCTACCAGGACGCCAGCAGCGCCTCGCATTGCCAAATCTTTCCGGATCACGACCATTATGGCTCCAAACAAATGTGCGCCTGCTGCTTGCGCATTCAGGGCCTGCGTATGTCAATCACTTCTCAGCCAGAACACAACATGCAAAATCAAGTGCTGGGTTCTTGGAGGCGGCCTCTATGAAACGCGCAAGACGTCCTTCAAAATTGTTCTCGCGGGACTTATCTTTAAAGCTTTGAACGTAGTTTCGTGCTTGCGCCAACCCTTGGTACGCACTTGCGCCAACCTTGCATGTGTGGGGTTTTCGTGCGTGGGTTGATCATCTGGTTTGGCGTTTGATTAGACTAGAACGAGAGCATCGGTTTTTGGATGACCCTCACAGCTGACAACGCAACGAGGAAAGGGCATCAGCGCCCTGCTGCTCTGGCTTTTTGATGGCCAAGAGAACTGGGGCACCGGGGTGAGGAACGGCTCCCCAATGGGGACCTTGATGCCGGCCCCCTTGGCCAACGTACCATTCGGATAATTTGAACGCTTGTTGCTTCTGAAGGGACGCTCCACATACGTGTGTGCAAGCACTACAGCTCCCTAGTTCCCTCTTCCCATCCCTCCCACCCTCCCGCCACCCACCCAGTCAGCCAGCCATCCATCCCGCATCTATCTGTCTGTCGCTAGAAAAGCTTGAGTTTGCGAACAATTTCGCAGGCTCCAAAGGAGCCAGCATTCGTAGTAGAATTGTCGCGAAAGTAAAGGATAATTGAAAGATGGTGGCAGCCAGCAGCAGCAGCAGCAGCAGCATCAGCGACGGTGTCAGCGGTGGCGGTGTCAAAAATCAAGCCCTTGACAAGGATCTCCATTGAAAAAAGGCGTCCACCAGCTTTCGGGACGGTAGTTGAAGATTGACGTGGCATCAGGCATCCGCACGGGGTTACCGAAGTTAACGTCTAAAGCTGCCTTGTCCACGAAGGTGCAGTTGCCTCGCTGCACCTGAACGGACAGCTCTGTGCCAGCCATTGATGAAGAATTCAAGTCTCAGGCACTGGCCAAGCTTATGACTTGCCTACGAAGCGGCAATGGCAAGCTCGTCCGGATGTATATGACCAAAAGTTCGTCACACTTTGGCCTTGTCGATAATGGAAGTTGATAGCTTGAACAGCCAACACTGTCCTCTTCTGGAGGGACCTGATTACCATGCGACACGTGTAAAATTCCTTTTTTGTCTGGGTCGTTAAGGGCACGGCGGCTATTTCCAATTCTCCATCTGGTGCGCTGCCACCGAAGGCTCCAAAAACCCTGCCCAAGGAGGAGCGTGTCAGTGACATGGCCTAGTCACCCTTCTTCAAGGACTCAAGATTTAATCACACAGTGCTTGACAAAGGCTCTGGCCCAACAAAACTGCCAGACAAAGCTGCCGGCTGCTGGACCTTCAGTACATGCACGCAGCGGATAAGATCTCAGATGTCCATGGAGTCTGGACTAGCATATTCTAAGGAGCACTCCGATATGAGGGCAAGCTGAGCGGCCTTCGGGGACATCGGTCCAGCATGTCGCCGCAAGCATTGAAGCATGATGCAAGGAAATTTGGGACCAAAAAAGCTCAAGTGGTCTCAGGATCTTGCAGCGCTTGGCAGCAGTGCAAGCCTCAATCTTCTTCTGTCTATGCAAGGACTTCCTGGGTTGAGTAGGATGGCTCAGGAGCACGCCAAGCCCACAGGCGGACGCCATGGCACATTGGCCGGTGCAGGCCTCAGTCTCCACAAGCGTCTTCTTGTCTGAAAGAAAGGAGGCCTTTGCTCTGGGAGAGTCTGCTCAGGTTCCAGCCCTTCAGGCCGCCCACTCTTCTACTCGAAACGATTTAGGACATTGAGCCAAACTTCTTTAGCAAAGTACGCACACTCTGAGTCTACACACAATCTCGTTGCTATTCATTGCTTATCACGGCATCGCAGGGCAACAGAGGAGGGCTGCTCCTCGTAAACACTGCCACCGATGGCCTCGCAGGTCTGGCTGCGCTCCTCCTGGCTGTGGCGCTTGAAGTCCAACACGTGCCACAGTGGCAGTAAAAGCCCTCTTGATTGTTCGCGAGTGTTTGCAAGTGCACACAGATCGGAGGCTGCTCATGAGCAGCAGCGTTTGCTGCTGCACAAGTAACAGCCAGAGTCGCAGACACAGCGCAGCGCCCAGCGTCTACGCATGTGATTGCCAAGCTGAAATTCTCAGCTCGTTGCTGAAAGAAGAAACGCAGTTCTTCTTTGAAACTGCGTGGCCACTCGCTCTTTGCCATGAAACACTCACGGATGACAACCAGCAGCGGCAGTCAGTGATACATTACACGCTTGCATGCCGTGTGCGCAAATATTCTTTCCTGAGCTGTATGTCGATCGGGGCCGGCGCTGGGCGCCTCTCCCCAGACATCCGACCTGATCTTACCTGCCATGGGATACATGCAAATACACCTTCATATACAGCTCTGGCAAGCACACTCTGCTGAAGGAGCACCACCTGGCCTATCAAACGTGGCTCCAAATAGGGGGTGTCTCTGAAACTTTGTATCCCAAACCACGCAGACGTTGGAATGCATCCTCTACACTACTCCTGTACCTTACTGTTCCGAGCATCACATCCAGGGGGTGCATTCGAGCACCGCTCAGTGCGCCAATTATGGGAAACATGCCAGATCATTTGCAGGATGAGCTTTCACTCAGCATCTCAGTGCAAGCTGCAGCCTGACAGGACAGGGATTCCCGCATCCCATTTGCAATTTGCACGGCACAGGGCTGAACAGGTGCACAGCTGCTGGACTCCATCGCCATCGGCGGCTTGCTTGGGTCTTTTTGCAGCAGAAGATCGGACCCTTGCAGGCTATGTACTTGGAGGTGCGGGGTTGGAACCAAGGCTAGGTCAGGGACTTGCGAAGACCTGCGCGTGCACATGAAGAAGCTGAGTTCTGGCTTCGACTCTAAGGCTTTAGAGCTTGCAAAGGTGTCATGTAGAAGCCGGAATCATGGCAGGCATGATGCCCGTTTCGTCCTGGTAGAACTTTAGGCCCCCTGTAGGCCCTAAACCTTATGAGCCCTTGCACACCTAAACCTTACACAATTGCAAGCCCGTATACACCCCAAACCCTGATATAAGCTCTCATAATCCTAAACTCATGCAAAAATCATCAACCCCCCACCCCCCGTGGATCCCCTGTCATTTAAGGACGCCTCACTGCCCTTGATCCCTCCCCCACACTGCTTGTTGGAAAGAAAACTCAGCTAGCGCCGGGTGCTAGCTTTTGTGATGTGAGACCTACACTGGCGTTCTACTACGACGACATGTGGAGCGCATCGAGGCAAAGTCGTCTCAGAAGCACAGGGCGGCTCCCTCGCGCTTTCCATTCAGGGCACCTGGTCAGCGGATCTCTGCCCTATTCAAGCCCTATTCAGCCACTGCGCAATGAATCTCATGAACTGTGTACGCGTCTTTTCATCCACACGCAGGCCGGCCGCCCCTTCATGGCCTGTCAGACAGCAGACTTGCACCTGTGCCTGGGCATCTTGAGTCTTGGACCTTGGTAGTTGGAGTGACCAATGGCTGGGCTTGCCTGTGTTCTTGTCTTACAGTGTTCGTGTTGCAGAAAGCGAGTTGTCGAGATCAGATTCGCTCCTTTGCGCATCAGCCTTTAGAGTCCGCAGCTGGGAAGGGATTGGACTTGGCAAAGTGCCGGGCATAAACGTCACTCAGCTCCACTGGCCCCACCGTTGCTTTCTCTCGGGTGGTGTCGTTGGAAAGCTCCATGGATACCGTGTAAGATTCTCGCAACTTGTGCGACCGCATTTGACAGTGGACCCTTAGTTTGTCTGTAGCAGAAACGGGCAACGGCCTGCTCAGCATGAAACGGCAATGAGCCCATACCGTCAATGGTGCTTCTGGCGAAGTGGAGAGTACAGGGGGGTCTTCACCCATACAGTCACCAGAGAAGACTGCATCCCACCAGCCACACAAACCATCAATCAAGGCATCTTTGGATCTAGTTGGGAACTTCAGCTCAAAGTCAATCTTCCGCCAATCCTTAACATCCTTTGTCCCTCCAAGGTCCAGGAAGTGTCCTGGAGACTTGGCCGGAGGAACCAGAAGTTGGTCGGAATCCACAATATCAAGAACGAGCTCCTTCATCTGCTGCTCCACAGCCAAAGGCAATGCTGGAGTCAGGTCGAAGCCCATGAAATCAACATTCTGCCAGAAGTTGTGTCTTGAGCGCAACTCCGCGCCCAGTGTTGGGTCTTCGAAGGGTGACAACCTCAGCCAAGCTGCAGCCGGCAAAACAAGGCCATCTGGCTTCAGGAATCGAGACGCAGCGTAGGTCACTGCCTGGAGACCAAGCTCCCCCACAAGGAAGTGAGAAAACAGCTCGGACACAATGACATCCACCTGCCCGACTTCCTCACGTGCTACAGACTCCAGATGCTTTGGGATTACCTCTATGACGCCGGCATAGCCGTTGGCACGAGCAAGCCGAGAGGCGACACGCGCGATGTCAGGCGAGCCCTCAATAGCATAGACTTTCTTGGCACCATGCTTGGCGGCCAGAAGAGCGAGAATTCCAGATCCCGTTCCGATGTCCATCACAGTCGCCCCTTTCAGTTTTAAGGCTGCTCTAGCCAGTGCCGCATCATAGGCCTCATTGCGCGCAGAGTCTCGCAGCATGCCCTCATGGTTCTTCAGCTTGCCGTAGTAATGCACGTAGCCATCAATACGGGAGAATCCCCGCACGCGCTTTGCTCCCGGCCATACCCTGCGGCAACCAGCTGGGGCTTTTGCCATCAAATGCGCAAGCACTGCTGGCATCATCATACCAATCAGCTTGTTTTGAGCTGGAAGGATACTGCTAGCTGAGTGTATTATTAGATGGGTTGGCAAGTAAAGCTGCTTTCTGCTAGCCCCCAGACTACGAAGGAAAGACATCATGAGCATACATGAGCATGCTACCTGAGATCTTTGAGCAGCAGGCCAACAGGCAAACTCCGAACTCGACGGAATTCGATTTCTGAGGAAAACTTCAGAGGCTGCAAGCTGCTTCCAGCTCTCAAACGGGCTCTCAAAGCAAGCCCTTTCTGCACCAGCGAGCCTCCTGGTGCCGCGATGTTGATCTGGAACTATTCATGCTGGCGAAAAGGCGAAGAACTACCAAGAATCCTTGCTTATAGACAGTGTCAATGATGCTGCACATGGCCCCAGGACTCTGAGCCAGTGCTGCGCCCACGTTCATGCAGCTTCAGGAGGTAAAGCGCAACAATGTGCAGAGCTGACACGTGTGGCCTTAAGCGGAGGCACTGAGACTGTCCCAGCCTGCACACATGCTGTCGTGCATGGCGGCCGTTTGTCCGTGTACTGGGGCTCCAACCAGCTGCTGACTATCTGAACTATCTTTGTCATTTCCTCGGTAGTACGCATTGATGGAAGCGCAACAGCCACCTACGACTACTTTTCATGCGTAATCAATCACGCATGATTTTTCAACAGTAGCAAGTCATCATGATGATGATGATGATGAGGATCATCATCATCATCATCATCATCATCATCATCATCCAATGTGTGCTCCGTGACGTACCTATGTCCGCACGACGCTGAGGAATCGGCTTGGAGGAGGATTCCTCGCAACTGCGTGCAACCATCTTTCGTATCTCATCTGCCAAAATAATGCCTCAGCACAAGACCGATCGTGTGAACTTGATTCATCCGGAATCTAGGAGTTACAGAACTTCTTCAATCAGCAAGACTTCGGGCATGCTGCCAGCGAAGGCAACCCAGGGAAGCGTAACAGCTCTCATTGGGATCCAACCTCTCGGGACGCAGCATCTCCAAAGCCATGAACCAAAATCCTTGGAGGAAGGCTCAGCAGGGAAGCGGGCCTGTTTTGAAAGCGGACTGGATGGGAGGGCAGTAGATGGCAGCCAGGCCCATCACAATCTGATTTCAGGCAGAGGTGATCTTGTCACCCAAGGCTTCTACTGTCGCACGCTGTCACATGGCCTCTCCAAGGAACATCAAGTTCAGGGTGCTGTTTGGAAAGCAGTATGGCGTGGTGCCCAAGCCAAACACCTTCAGAACAACAGCTTTGCAACAGCTCCAGCATGCTTCAGCCATATCTGATGCTGTTGAGCTGAGCACACTCTGCAGCTTGGTCGTTGTAGATACAGCGGCGGCCTTGCACGCATCATCCAAAATGCCAAATGCACCCTTTCTTGGGGGACCAACTGTTGTAATATCAGATCCCATGGTCGCGCCGTGCCGACCTGTGACGCTGCAAACTGAGGCGCGATCAATTTGCCCAACTACAAGTGTCCAGTAGTAGACTGTCATGCCCATTGTGTCTGTCTCGAAATCCTGCGAGTTGCTCAGCTCAAGTCACGAGCGTGCTGGATCTGAAAACAACGATGCTTTTCCCAGGCCTCGAGTGCATAATCATTAGGGCTTTTTCCAGACATGTAGAGGTCCCACATGCCGGGAGTTGCCTCAGCAATCTTCCATGCTTCGTGAAGACCAAGCTTCACAGCCAAAAACGAAAGGGGCGCTGAGCCACGGACCCAGAAAAACATCAGCCAACAGAAGAGCATCTGCAATTGTCCAATGTATCCATAGCTGTAAACCAAAACCTGCCCAGGTGAAACCGTAATCTGACTGCTTGCAGGCATCAGCAGGCTGGAGCCAGGTTTTAGGCCTTGCAGTTCACCATCTTTTCGTATCGGGGGTGTCGAGGCGCCCTCTCCATCAACTTTGACCTCACAACGTGACACTTCACGACCGCACAGCGTCGTACTGCATGATGGTTCTGGCATGTTGTTACGCATGTGAGCTCATGTGTTCCCGGCTCCGCAGGCTGGAGGGCATAGGCAATAGCAGTCCTAGCAGACAGAGGAGTGTTGCTGGCGACACAGCGCTACACCACGCAACTGCAACCGATGTTGCAGAAATCGGGGAGTCCAGATGTCTGTACCAATGTCGATGAGCAGCACTTGCGCCACTGTGAGAGCCTCCACAATCCAGAAGAGCATGACCCCGGTGACACTTGAACATCTGCACACGTGAGTCTCTGCCTGTGGAACGCCGAACAACTCGCCGAAAGTTGGAGCAACCTGTGGCACCTTGGAAGAACCGAAGCTTTCGAGCTTTCGCCTTTCTGACTCCCTGACTGCTCCCGACTGCTTCTGCTCTTGGGACCTTGGAGCACAGGGTGTACATAATGGACTTCTGGAGGTTCTCGCTTGACAGTCGTCCTGCAAAGTGGCTGCACATGTAATGCCACTGCTCTCTACCGCTACGTATACCAAAAGCAATAGAGGGACGCTCACGTCAGCTTTGCACAGGGTCCTTGCTCCATGCCTTTCACCACGGACGAGAAGTTATCATCATGAAGAACAATGTCAGAAGCATCCTTAGTCGACACAGCCACCTCAAAGCTCAGACAGCAAAACACGTGGCCACGTGGCATCAAGCTTGGTCCAGCACTGTCGAAAAAAATCAGGGCTGCTACTTGAGATCCCTACATGACCGCAGGACTTTCAGAAGCGGAGCGCCTGAGCCTGCGGCCTTTGCGACCTCGGTACCGCGTTGACCCATTGCCACGCCGACCTGGGAACCATGTCTCAGCCTCTTTTCAGCTTGCAACTGAAGATTTGATAAGAATTGGAGGGGGGCTGGAATGGTCAGCAAAGTAGGCTGTAGACCAGCAAGATTAAACATGCATCTATGAGCTTGCAGTCGTCTGGCCTCCGCTTGCTTGAGGGCCGGAGCATCGTTAACACCATCGCCAGTCATTGCCACGATGTCCCCGATGCCCTGGTAACCATACTTCTGGTAAGCCTCACGAAACCATGGTGAGGAATGGTAAATTGTTGCGTCGATCCTGCCATGGCTTGCTTGCAATAACCTGCCTGCACGATGACCTGCTTGTGGATCGGGGAGACGCGGGCAAACACGCGGGTGTGCTGCACTGCCTCCGAACAAACTATATTCGAACACATCTTGAAATCTTCAAGGAGCTGTTAACGTCAACACAACGCAAAGCTGTCTTCCGGTAATCCGAACGGCCCAAGATTGCGAAAACGGCCAATATCGCCGGATGATCAATCGCGCCTTCCTCCACCACTTCACATTCTCTTCAGGTTCCTCATCCGTGAAATTGTCGCCGCGTGGGATCCGGTTGTCCAGCATGACCTCAGCACAAAAAAGACCCTGGTTTCACGGTTTCATCCGAGGGGCGCTGGGCCCGGTGCCCCCGTGATGACGGAAAATTCGGATGCACCTTGGAGCTGCTCGGCCTCAGTCTCCGGCATCTCAAATTCTCGAAACACTCCAGGCTCTCAGATGCAGCTACAGATATCATGGATTATTCCAGCCTCGTTGGCCTCGTCAGCGCTAGAGCCCAGGATGTTGATTCGGCCTTCCCGGGACGAGTCATGAACTTGCTGCTCGAATCCAGGGTACAAGGATGTACTAGGGTGAACATCATGCGACATGCAGATCTGTGACATGATGAAGCACCTGCAATGGCCCGAGCAGTGTCAGGGTGGTCTCCGGTCACCATCACCACCTGTGCCACTGAACTGCGTGCTGAACTGCGAAGATTGCAAGTTACATAAAACGAGGAGCCGGCCTTCACACCGGCCCGCTGAGCCATCAGGACAGCCTCATCCACTCCCTTTTTGGGCGGGTCCTGAAAAAACACTTGCAGTCTGCTGAGCTGTTGGTTCACATGCACCAGGGGCTGAAAGGCTACATTCATGACCTACAGCAGGCGTGAGCTCCTCAATGCCATACAAGCCCACGAACTCGAAGTCTTTCATGGGGAAGTTGCAATCCGAGGCATTGGTGCCCTCAAACTTTCCTCCCTGTCGCAAGCAAGAAGCTGTGAGTTTGTCGACAGGGGCAGCACTTGCACAAATCGATGAGCAACACATCTTAGTCTTATGTAGGCCGGCAGGGGCGCACCGCTGGAATTTCGTTGCTGGCTATGTCGCGCTTGGCGATGCACAGCACGCGACGTCCCTGTCACGGTCTGAATTTATGATCGTCTACCTTGCTGCGGAAGTTCATTCAACAGGACATCGAGCCGGACCGCCACCCGCTTCCACGGTCGCACAGGCTATAGTAGGACATTAGGATATCATCAGCAGTCGCGGCCTGGCCCATGAGGTCCTGCAGCAGCGTGCACTTGCATGTGACTGGGAATGCGTTGAGTGGAAGATGCGAGAATCTGGAGGTTTGACATGCAGTGTTTGATCTGACGCCGCTCACTGTGTCGGTACATCTCGAAAGGCTCGACCCACAAGAGTGTTGTGATCAAATTGGTATTTTCGCAGAGTCTACTTTGAGAACTCTGAATTTACCACAGGCATGCAATGACCGATGCAATGACCGGTGCAATGAGCTGTTCAGGCTTTCCCGATGAGCCCGAATTCCGACACAGGTTGCACTAGAGCCGGCTGCATAACATAGAATTCGCCTAGGCGTCCTAATTTCAAAGAAGCCACTGCAAAACAAAAACACCCAACTAGGTGCAACTGTCACCACCACTGGCTTTCATTGCAACCCACAGACAACACTGCTGGGGAAGCTGAAGGCACGTTCTGCCGCTTTGCAGAATAAAGCGTTAAGAGTGTTTGTTTCTAGTTGTCTGGTTTTTTTGTTGTTTGAGCTTTTCGG